TAACCATTGGTCGTTAAGGCGTATTCTCAAAATACCGATATCTACAGCTGTGGCAACAGGCGTGTGATTTGGTAATACACCAATTTGTTTTTCAATTTCCAAATTATATACATAGACAATGACTTTGCTGTTAAGAGACTTAGACTCTGTTTTATAATTGACCAAGTAGGATTTTGCTCTATAATTGTTTATCGTAAAATCATTATTCACACCCTCTATGCGCTATGTAAAATCATTTTGTTTTTTATTTTTTTGCAATTGTATACTAAGGAAAGGGGCCTCATTTAGTTTATTGCCTAGGGCCACCCAAAAGTTTAGACCGGCACTGTCCACAACCTTATGTTAAGGGTAATGTGGATGGAGCTTGGCACAAGGACTCACTACAGGGTGGTGTGGGTTGCTGCTTGCGTGATTCTGAGTGTAGGATGTTGGCAGGTATGAGTAAGTCTATTCTTCAATACGCTGCAGTTGAGGTGGAAGCAGATGCTGTATTGGAAGGGTTACTGTTGGCTAAGGAGGAAAACTGTCAGGAGATTATTCTTGAAAGTGATTCAATGGAAGTTATATCTTGTATGGGAAACGAAAATCTGCGAGGCAACTGAAGAATTATCCCGCTCATCTTGGAAATCAGGAGGCTCTCTTCTTGGTTCACCTCGGTTAAATGGGAATGGGTATCTTGCCAAGCAAATAAAGCTGCGCATGCTGCAGCAGCTCTATCAAACATGAGGGTGCGAACTATGCATTGGGTCTCACAGCCTCCTCCCTCATTGGTTCTGGTGTTGGCTAAGGACGGTTTGCCGTGCCCCCCCTAGTAATTAGTTTATTGTTATAAGGTAAGTCTGCTTGATGTAATTTCAGTTTCTATCTCCTGGGAGGTGTCTTTGGCCTCCCTGTGATTTGCTTGTATTGCTCTGGGGATTTCCCCTGCCCCCTGTATGTTTCTTTCTGGCAATTTCCTGTTTAATGTAGCTTGAGCCTTTTCCGGCTCTTTTTCAATGAAGTAATATTCAGACCAAAAACACTCGACATACTTAATCAAGCCATGGCAATTATTGGGGAGCTAAGAAGTATACTCCTGGTTGGACTAGATATCAATTTCGGGTTTAATTAAAGAAAATGATTCATCTTATTCGGAAGGATGCCTTTTAACTGGTTGTATTTTACTCTTGTTCATGGATTGTATTTGCAAGACTCTGATCAAGAACATTGTTCATGACGGCCAAGCTAGCCAGGCCATAAATCAACAGGCTTTCAAGTTGCAAGCAAAGAGTAGAGAATGGATCTAAAAAGATACACGAAACCAAACGATAGTAGGGCAAATGCTCAAGTCAAGTTAAAAATCAAAGCCCAGAGAAGACCAGACAGCCTAACAAGGCCAAACAAATAGGCCAGACCACAAAACAGAAACAAAAAGGACTGCACCTCAAAAAAGCTAATGCGCAAAACTAAACAACACACAGGAAAGGTAATTAAATCAGTAAACTAGCAAGATTCCAGAGGAAGAGAGATGGAAGAGGGCTTAAATGTTGAAGATACAAAGCCGGCATCTGATGGCTGTAAAGAGACTTCTTGATCACCAGACTCGGTTAATTTAACGGTGAATTACTGTAAACTGTAAATTTACCCCTAAAGATTCATTCACTTGATTCGGACGAAAATAGCTTAATGATCTTGCAACTTAAAAGATCTAGCTCACAGGCACAATCTATTCATGCATGTTGCAAAGCATTTCATCTATTTGACCTTCAGACTTCATGTCACAGCAAAAGATCCAAACAATTACAAGCTGTGCAATAATTGTATATTTAGTTCACCTGACACCGATGCTGATTCCAAGACCTCCAAACTTGGAATAACAATTTCAATCAAGATCTAGAACTCATCTAATGGCCCAGAATCCGTTCAGCTTCAGCTCAAAGATAATGACAAAACATGAAAGTCCCATATGAACATGTACAACAAAACCCTTCTGAAGCACACAATCAATAAAATGCAGAAGATAAGATATTATTCAGCACAAAAGATAAATAAAGATCCAATCCCGCCACAACTTTTCCTGCACAAGATTTCAGAATGAAGCATGAAAATTCTGTAACACAGCTCGAATCAATTCTCAGTCGTTATCATTTTTAAGAGTTCGTGCTAAACATAACTAACAGGACAAATCATGAATACAAAACACTGCAACGTTAGGCCCCCCAACATTGTCCTCACACCAAACTCTTTCAGAATCTTTTCCTAGTACATGCCTAAGGCCCCCCACTATGCCTAACAAAACAAAATGATTGCATAAAAGACACATTATACCCTCACTTTGAAATGACTACAGCTGCTCACTCCACTCAGGATTAAAGGCTTCAAGACACTGTAAAGGAACGAAACGATTATCTCCCTGAAAACCAGTTCAAACTCTTAAATTATCTCCATGCACCGACTCTTTCAAATGTACGACTTACTATGTTCCAAATTCCAATATACCTTAGACAATCATCTTGATATTCAAACATGAAGGTCTAAGCTCAGGAAGAGAACTGCAAGAGGGTCCATCAACTTTGGTTCAGCCTTGCAGATTTATCCTCAAAACCCTCCATAAATTTCACAATAATAGTTAGAGGTTCAGAGCAGTCCAGGCCTCTGGCCATAATCCCATCTTCGGAGAAATCCTTACGAAAGACAATTTTGGTAATGCATTTTCAGAAAATCACTTGCAGAATATAATTATAGATTATTATAAATAAACTCAATCCTAGACATGTATTTATAAAAAAACCCACACACTATTTAAACATAGAAACACACCCAAAATCAACCCCAAAATCAACAATTGTATATTTTTTGGGTGTGTTTATAAATGGGTTTTGAGTGTGTGTAATGATGGGTTTTGGGTGTGTTTATAAAGTGTTTTGGGTGTTGGGTTTTTTTATAATTTCAGCCCCTATTTTGGGTGTTTTAGTGAAACTCCCATATAATTAATGACATTAAAATTGCCTCCAAGCTAACAAATCTGTTTCAAAAACAAATAGTTTCTCAAATATTGAGTTTGGCAGGCACACCCACCACAGTACTGCATATTACAAAGTTTCCAGCCGGCCAAGCTGATGAGCAGATATCCAAGATAATAAACTCCTTGAGAAACTCTCGAAGAAAAATAAAGGCTCGCAAAAGTGATTCTAGCCCATCTAGAATCACTCCCAAACGAGCCCTAAATCAGGACCGCAAAGAGGAAAAAGCAACATCTTCACTTTTAAATGCAAAGCATCTATAGGGCAGCACAACCCCTCACTAACTTCCAAGGACACAGAAATAATGGATATATGATGAAAATATGAGGATATTCCAGAAGAGGCATCTCAACAAAAAGTAATATGTATTATGCGTTAAAAACGTTTAACTAAGTAATAATCATTGGTATCAGTCATATGACTCATACTGCAAAACTACGATATCTTGCAGCTACTTAAAATTCTCCAATAAGTTTGATATGCATAAGAAGCTATCAATGGATTGTCTGCAAAAGGCCATGATCTAAAAACCTAGTAAAAGAGTGGTATCGAGAACACAAAAACAGAAGCTGAAGTGCGAACCTTTTCCCCAAATTTGTGGCGATATCAAGGACACAATACAAACAGGTGAAGCGTGAACCTCTTCCCCAAATTTCTATACTTTCTTTTGTTTTTCTAAATCACGGTTTCATTAAGATTAACATTCTCTTATAAAAAAAAAAATTCAAATTAATATGCACAGACTCTTATTTCTTTCCTTTCCCACTTTATTTCTTTTAATGGACCCAACTTTCAAGTCATCCATCTGCCCTACCAGGTCATTAATATAATAAAAATGACTGAAAAATCCAAACTCAACCCCAATAAGTTAAAACAATATCCTCAGATATAGAATAGTTTGGTAATTTCAGATAAAGTGCTAGTGGATACTACCATAAAGCAAATACCAGTGAATCTACAGGAAAAAGCATATCCTCTTAGAAATATCACCTACGAGGAGCAAATGAGTTTTAAAAATAAAAACACAAACAAACAATTGGTTCTTGGTCAATATAAAGTCTTTAGAACTCTACTTTAGAAAGATCACAAAAAATTCAGTATGCTAATTTAGCACTATGATGTGACCAGGCATAATCCAGTTAGTAGTCACACCTATTTTCAAATTCAATTCTAATTCTTTAGATCTCTGCTTTAAAAAGATTTGAAAACACTCATTGCCCTTAATTGGAATTATGACATGCGGCGGGGCACAACCCAGTTGGAAATGACACCACTTCCTTCTGTAAAGAGGAAATATCAAATTCGCTTCCTTCTCCATCCCTTTCCAAAATGCAATAACCAACCAAAAAAATGGAATAAATAACATTTAGGGAAGATCTGAGCAAGTCATATCATTCTAATTCACTTTCTAATATGTTCATGCTAGTACCTTCTATGTATTATCGTGGAGTGAAACTAACCACAACATGCAACTCACAGAGAAAAGGAAGAGAGAAAATTCTAGATATTTTGCGACCAAAAAGCTTTTTAGTGGGTAACAAAAAGATTCATTGTTGACAAGCCACGAGTAATACATTGACACCATTCTACAGAATTATTTTAAAGAATACACACTATCAGTTCATTGTCAATAGTTAAGGATGTGAACGACAGAGAACTCAATCCTAATGAGTGAAACTTTGGTTTCATCATCACTGAATACAAACAGTATCATCATCATCTTAAGCTAACATAAGTCATACATAAAACAATTTTTATGTATTTTTGGCCCAAAAAACACTTGTGGTCAGCAAAGGACAATTAGAGTTCTTATTGCATCCTATTGATGTTGATGAACTGATTCTCCACTGTCAAGGTTAATATATGTCAAAGTTAATGTTTTATGAGTGAACCCTCTGCTTCAGCAACAGACATAAACAATAAGCAAAACAACTTTAGAATACCATGCCTCTGCCTTCATTACCTCAGAAACTAGAACATGAATTTAAAAAATTTAAAAATTACTCAATAATCACTCTATTTCTTCCAAGATATACTAAACTTCCCTGAAATTATTCAATACTTTAATCAACCACTTGAAAATTGGCTACTAATTTAACATTAAAATAACAACAAATAAACAAACTCTGAAATTCTTTTCCCAAATAAAAGAGAGGAAAAGTTATAAAGAGTTCGTCCTCAATCAAGAAAACCTGTTTGCCGCCACACCGCATTGCGAACCCGCCTGAGATCTCTGCCCTTCAATGTTCTCCCCACGCCTTCCAGCACCGAACACGCAAGCATCGGCGTGTGGGACGAGCTCCTGGCCACAATCTCATGCGGCGGCAGCATCTCGCCTTCACCTTCGTCGTCATCATGGTCGTCGTCCACGGCGTCAAATTCGCGGTGCTTCCTCATCGCATTGGCCAACACCGGGACGTTAACCGGCGCCGACTGGTGGTACTTCACAGAGGACAGAGCCGGGTGGTTAAACCGATCGTGAGGCGGCTTCGGAATCGCCGGGATTAGCTGCGAGGGCGAGGACGACGCGGAGGATGAGACCGAGGACTTGTGGTAGAAATGGGATTGGGGTCGGTGATTGGAAGAGGAGGGCTCTCGTTCCGGGAGAGCGGCGAGGATGCCGAAGCTCTCTGGTTGAGAAAATCCCTTGTGATGGTGGTGGTGGTGGTGGTGATGGCTATGGTGGCGCGGGGTTGAGGAGGTAGAAGAGGAAGGGATTGAGCGGTGACTGGGTTCGGCGGCCACGTCGTTGCTCCAGAAGACATCGTCCTCGTTGAGCTCGTCGCCGATGGAGGTGGCAGGGGTAGGGTTATTGGGCAGCGCGTGGGGATACGCGCCGAGGAAGCGTTCGGAGGGTGTGGTGGATTTCTTGGGGCGGAGGCGGGTCGGGTTGGGTATGTCCATGTGGGTTTAGGGTCGGGTCAGTAAAAGTTGGAGCGGCGGAGGTGGTGTTGTGCTTTTGTCACCAGAGGGAGCGAGGTGGGGGTTTGAAAGGGAGAGGTGGGGAGTGAGAGAAGGGAAGGGGGTGCGGGAGAGAGAGTGAGAGGATTCTTATAAATATTTATGAAATAATTAAATCTTTTCATTAATTACAATAAAAATAAAAGATTTCAGCTAGGGAGTGACGTGACTTCAACCCGCACAAATTAAGGGAATTTTCAAAATATATGAAAATTGTACCAAAAAAGTTTTTTATTTAATTTTAAATTCATAAGATATGCCAATAATATTTTAAAGGATTTACGGGTTAAAGGTCTTACACCAAAACTCAAATGTAGGGGTCATCAATTGGCCTACAGGCCCATGGGCAGATGGAGGCCCGCCCAGCTCATTGAGTAAAAGCCTGGCTCGGCTCAATATTTAGTGGGTTGAACTTTGCCTTCGGTGTCTAAAGCCCAGCCCAGCCCATGAGCTTGGCCCTTTAGAGCCTATTAAGGCTCGGCTTATAGGTCCATATATTTTGTATAAATATAAATTTAGTTTAAAAGTGAAAGGAAATAGAGACACACATAAGGGGTTTCGAACCCCTACCACTTTTATCCCAATCAACAACTTATCCACCATACCATAGACAACTTAATGATTATATGTTACACCATTTGACATTTATATATGCTTCATCAAACACCTTGCCACAACTGAATTTAAGCCATATCAATAATGTTGGAGCTACATCAAACTATGTCAACTCAGAAGGCACTTCTTCCATGTCCTTTTTTAGAGCTTTACGGTGAAGAGAATGTCACAAGAGTTCATATGAATTTTTGTTGTAGTTTTCTAAATTTAAATTTATGTATTGTGAATTTGTGAAATGAACAAAGAAAAAAATGAAGACATAAACATATAGATAAATGTAAATAGAGAACTATGAAAAAAAAAAAAAAGAAGAAGAAGGAAACATAGAAACATACCAAAACATAAAAAATAAAGAATTGACAAAAAAAAAAAATCAATATTAAAAAAAATACAAAAATAAGTAGTTGGCCCATTTAGACCCGGCCCGATGCGCTTTTTCAAGCATAACCCATGGGCCGGGCTTGGATTTTGAATTTTTTTTTTAAAATCCGACTTGGCCCGTTATTTTCTCTCTTCTCTTTAAAGCCCAGCCCAACCCGGCCCAAGCCTATTAAATTTGGGCCGGACCGGCCCATTAACGAGGCCTACTCAAATGTACACTTCATGACAATTAACTCAAATTTTAAAGGATTTACAGTTAAAATTTATCATTTTGTTTGAGTCTTCTCCATGTACACTTCATGACAATTAACTCAAAATTATGAATTTAATGAACAAATTATGCTAAGTCTTAATAATGATATATAATTGCACATAATCGTACATCAAAATTAACAAAATTATATATCATTTTTCACTCCATAATTCAACAAGTCTTAACTTCTCCTTTAAAATTATATATAATTTTAAACTTGAAAATCTTGTTTTTGTATTTTAATAGCACTATTCAGCAAGACAACCAAATAAAGCTCTTGCCAAGTTTAACTGTATTAACACAAAAAATGTAATTAAGTTTCATAACCATGTTAAGGGGAATAATCACGCAACATTATTAACCACTTTATTGCCAAAATAAATATAGGAATTGAAAAAAGTGTGATCATTAGCCAAAATCTAGAAAATTAATTTCAACAAAGAAAAAAAGATATTTATTTTTGTATTTTGAAACAGTATATGCATATGCACGTAAAATAGAATGGGCATTTTTTGTATACCAATATGTATGCAATCAAGAAGGCATTTTTCATGAATTGGCATTTATAGATTAAATAAAATAAACAGACACAATACAAACTCTGATTTCTAAAGAACAAAAAGACCAGGTAGATAAGATCATGAAATAGATTTCCATTTCCATTTTTGGTTATTTATTTATTTATTTAAAATTTGACAAAACTAAACAAGTGGAAAATGATAAGTTTATGTATTGTCTTATTTCACAAAATTCAAACTAAGTTAATTTCTTGGAACCACATACAGTTATAGCAATGCTCACACTTGCATAATATAAAGTATTAATTGGTAGCACTTATCTCGCGGTATATGATATTGGACCCTCAATATGTTGTTTCCATCATAACTCCCGCTTGAAAATAGTGTAAATTTGTATTCCATAAATAAGATAAGTTTTGGATAAGATCGTTAGTGCAATATATATGTATAATTATATAAAATAATCGTAAGACACCACATATAACATAACTTGATCCATTTTCTAGAGCCAAAGATAGTTGATATCCAACATAAGTAATAAAATGATTACAATATTAATATACCAACGCTATTGAAATAAAGTCATTAATTAAACATATTAATAAACTAAGTTGTAGTCTAAGCTTTGTAAAATATCAATTTGTCATTCCAAATGAACGGCTAGTGTAAAGCTTCAGAGTAAATTAATTAAAGAAATAATTTATTATTATTATGTTATTCGAAATAAAAGAAATATATTAATCATACCTTAAATTTCATCATAGCAAACTCTCAATTATAAAATACAAGTGTGAAATTGAATAACGTACACACTAAAAACCATAATACAACATGTTTACAAAAAAAAAAAAACACGCCAACAAAGAAAAATTTACAAAAAAAAAATACTACAACATGTTTTTGAGTTCAATAAGTAAATAGAATAATCAAGTTGTTTATATATACATACATATAACAGAGAAAACTATTTTAAGATTCGGAAAAATCGTACATATTTGTTTATCTATGTGTAACAAACATAAATCACTATTTTCTCTTTATTACAGATAAGAAGTTTTCAAATAAATTCAACATTTGCAAAGACAATTAGTGATCAAACACTTTTCCAGAAAAATAAATATAAAAATTTGTGATAAGAAAAGAAGTGCCGACATCCACACCAAAACTGCAGTATATATATCACGAAAAGATGCAACAAAACAAACAAATTTTTTTTTCTTGAAACACTAATTGTAATTGCCCAAATGTTAGCAACAAATTATAAAAATATAAATGTACCAACAATATTTAAAGCAACTAAAATTGTAGAGACAACATGAAAGCTTCAAACTGTATCTATGCAAAACAAATCGTAATTTTCAATTTGAAAATCCAATACAAATGCAAAAACTTCAATCAAAGAGTTAAAAGGTATTAAAGCAATAGCAGTACGGGAAGAAACAACTTTAACGTACAAAGGCTTTAGATTGTTATAAAAATTATAGTTTTCCTTTTCCGTGAAGCCAAATACAAAAACCTTTATATTATAAATGACATATAAACAAATTGGAAAGTTTTTAAGGTACAATGAAACTGAAGAAAAACAAATCAATAGGTAAGTAAAAGCAAAATAAATTATAACTAAGAAGAGGTGAGCTTGGTACGGTGAAGCACGTCAAACACGTTGTCCTAAAGCCTTTGTAGCCTCCCTACGTGCAGGTATTGGCGGTTTACAAGACTCCAAGATACGACCCCTAATACACAAGCTCAAGATTCGCTATGAGCACGTTCATAGATGGATATAGTTCTTCAAGTCACAGAGCCGTTGCCCAAAAATAATAATATAAGTAGAGAAAGTATAAAAGGTAGAAGAGGAGAGAATCATATTGTGGTGATGATTGTGGTATGTGATATTCTGATGGTATATCAAATGTGAAGGAAGAGTGGCATTTCATAGGCATCCAAGAACATGTAACTTTCACCACATTAAACCAGAAAATTAAGGCATTCAATATAGAAATAATACCTGAAAATTAAATATGTATAACCCTTACAATAAATAAGATAAGACAACCAAAATAATTAAATAAATAAATAAAACAGTTAAAATTTTAAAACCTTTTAAAATTCCAACATTTTCACCTATATTTGATGAGATTTATATCGGGAATCACAAAAAAATTGTGACAAGCATTACAAAAGAAAGATTAAGACATTGTGAATGCAATGATGTTGGTCCAAAAATGTAAGAAAAAACTACAATCTACGAGGGATGCTGACTTTGATATTTGTTTGGCGAAGTATCAATATTTTGTGGCAACAATGATATTGACATTCCTAACATGGATGATTTATTTGTACCACAAGGGAGATCACGACATAAAGCTCAGAAAATTACAAACCGCCATTATTATCATGTAGACCTATTTCTTACTATCATTGATAAGAAATTAGCGAAATTGAATAATCGCTTCACTAAGGTAAATACTGAATTGCTTCTTTGTATGGCATGTTTGAGTCCAGCTTATAATTTTGCACCTTTTGACAAACAAAAAATACTTTGTTTTGCTCAATCTTACCCTCAAGAATTTAATAATTGAGACCTCATGAATCTTGAAGATTAACTTGGGCTTTATATTGTTGATATGCAGAGCAGCACTTACTTTTCATCATTGAATGGAATTACTCATTTGACAAAAAAATTGGTGAATATAGGAAGGAGTAGAATATACAACTATGTGTATTCACTTCTTACATTGGCTTTGGTTTTACCCGTTGCAACTGCTTCGGTTGAGACAACTTTTTCAGCTATGAATATTGTGAAAACACCATTGTGTAACAAAATGGGGGGGTTGAGTGATAGCTTGGTTGTTTACATTGAAAAAGATGTTTTTTCTTGTATTAGTAATGCAAATATAATGTGACATTTTCATGATATGAAATCTTATCGGCAACAATTGTAGGTTAATTGTAATGTTTTTTTTCCAATTAATTATGAATAATATTAGTATTGTTTAAATTATAAGGACATTTAGTTGTCTATCTTTTTTTTTTGGAGAGCTTTTAGCCTTTAAATATTGCACATCTATTGAAAATTTCCTGAATCCGCCAATGAGGGCGGCACTTGAAAAGAAGAAAATGGTGCCGCAAAAATATACGTTCTTGGAATTAAAAGGAAGTCATTGGCTTTATAAAAAGATTTTGCTATAAGACAAGCGGTCTGGGGAGAATGACAGGTGGATCATGCCATGAATTTTGAACTTGTGCCATTATTACTTCTATATTTTAATTTTCTCCAATATCTTAACATATAAATATAGACACGTACA